ACTCTCTCTCTCTCACACACTCACTCTCTCTCTCTCACACACTCACTCTCTCTCTCTCACACACACACACGCTGAGACCCGCAGAAATCTGACGGATGATCTGAAGTGTTGGGTTCACACTGATCAGATACTCACACTGGGATGCGATCGAAAGCATCTTCAAAACAGTCCTGAAACGAACAGAACAGATAAACATAAACATGTGTTTGATCATGTGATCACGTTTAACGTCTAACACACTCGAGTTGACTTTCACTAACACACAGTCTCCATTTATAGAAGTGCGGTTATGTAACTCAATTTCGACTGTTGCAAACCTGATGCCTTCATTTATGAAATTAATACTGTTATTCATCAAGGATGCATTAAATTGATCAAAAGTGGCAGTAAAGACATTTATAATGTTACAAAAGATTTCTATTTCAAATAAATGCTGTTCTTTTGAACTTTCTATTAATCTGTGAATCCTGAAAAATAAAATGTACCACGGTTTCCACAAAAATATTGGGCAGCAGAACTGTTTTCAACATTGATAATAATCAGAAATGTTTCTTGAGCAGCAAATCAGCATATTAGAATGATTTCTGAAGATCATGTGACACTGAAGACTGGAGTAATGATGCTGAAAATACAGCTGCGCATCACAGAAATACATTACAGTTTAACAGATATTCACATAGAACACAGCTGTTTGAAATTGTAATAATATTTCACAATTTTTACAGTATTTTTGATCAAATAAATACAGCATTGGTTGCAATTTTTCAAAATTGGCATGAACCTACATATCCTGCAGACAAAACGTGGCCCATAGAAATAATAAATAAAATAAAATAATAATTTGAAAGTATTAAAAAGTAAAAGTATTAAAAATATTTAAATAATAAAATATAGTACCAAAAAAAAAAAAACATTCAAATGTAATTTAAAAACTATAAAAAATAGTAAACATTAAATAATAAATAAAAGCAGAAAACAATTAGGGCACAGTCAGAATCTCTCTCACATAACAACCTGTCAGACGACTCATTATTCTGTGCTCCCAGTATTTCTAGTTTTGCTGAATGAGGAATGTTTTTGGCCTGAAGCAATCACTACATAATACTTGTTAATTCTTTCTAACCACTGCGGATGATGAGTGAACGTTTACAGAGATTCCTCTATAAATCACTCTGGCTGAAGTTAGAGAAAAAACCCAACAGCTTTCAAGTAAGAAATGTCTAAAAAATTAAAATGTAGTTTTGCAATTTTGCATTATATCAGGCATCAGTGATCCTGCCCTATTAAAAACTCCATGATAATAATGCATGAAGAGCTGGATAATGTCAGGAGTCTGCTGCTCTGATCAATATTTCACTACATCTGTCCAACTGCAGAGGAAACAGCAGCACTTAAAAAACAATACATCCGTTAGGAATAAAAGAACAATAGTGTTTTACCTACAACATTCATGAATGTTTTATATAGTCAACTGCACTGCCCTACAATGACATGATCACAAAAACAGCTTCAAAGATCTTCATGACATTTTGATTTTGTAGCTGGGAGTCTAACACACACACTCTCTCTCTCTCACACACACACACACACACACA